GCTGGCCCGGGGCGCCCACGCGGCCGGACTCGGAGCAGCCCGCGGGTGGCACCCCGCGAGCTGCGGAAGGCCCGGGGTGGCTCAGCAGCCCGAGGGTGGCTGCGGTCACTCGGACCGGCGGCAGAGTCGGGCGCATGCCCAATGGCCTCCGGACGACCAGGGGGCGAATTGTCCTCGTCCTCGTCCTCGTCCGCATCCTCGTCCTCGTCCTCGTCCTCGTCCTGCGTGCAGTGATCCGTGCCCTCGTCCTCGTCCGCATCCGCCTCGCCATCCTTGTCCTCGTCCTGCTGTTGGTGGTGGTGGTGCTGCTGCTGCTGCCGCTGTGACTGCCGGTGTTGCTCCTCCTCCCGAACCTGGCTACGGCTCCTCCCCCTTACGCATAATTACGTAGTGTCTGCCACGCTCCGCAGGCTGAGTGGCCGCAGCAGCTTCGGCGAGACGGGGGAGCAGAACGACCTGCCCAATAATGGCCGCAGGAGCAGGGGAAGGAGGAGCGAAGGGCCAGGAAAGGAGGGCGGGAGGGGGGGCGCGGCGGGGAGGGGAGAGGAGAGGAGGAGAGTGGAGCAGTTCGACGCTGTCTGCCCTCGAGTCGCAGAGTCGTCATCCTGAGTGGTGAAGTCTCCCACTGCCGCTCGCGCCTCCGCGCAGTGTGCAGTCCTTACCTCGCCACCCCCGTCTTGTACGTCGGTTCGAGATGCAGGAACGGGCGTAGACGGGCGATACCTTCCCCGATCTAGCCCTCCTCGGAGTATTCCCAGGGCTCCAGGGCCTCCTCGAGGTTTTACCCAGCTCAGGCTACGGGGCGCCTTCTGTATATAGTTCCTGCTAGTCTGACAGCTTGTGGAGCTTGGCTCCCTTTGTGGAGGAGGAGTTGGACTTGGAGTTGGAGAAGGAGGATGCGAAGATTCGAGTCAGACTTTCTGGTCCCGCTTCCCGCCCATGCCCCCTCCTCGCAGCCAGGATTCCTTGCGGCGACCAGGAGTCGTCTTTCCCCTGGTTCTCCGACTTTCCCGAGGACGAGGATTGTGAGGGCTGCGAGAAGCACCCCCAGGACGCGCCCATCCAGAGGAAGGATAACATTGAGTGGGGCAGGCAGGGAAGGAGGAAGGGCGCGGCGAAGGCTGGGAAGCGGGCTGAGAGGAGGAGAAGGCCGACCATGGGAGGATCATTTGATTTGTTTCGAAAGGCAGGATGAAGGCAGATAATGAGAAGAGGGAAGCGGGGAGGCAGGCGATGAAAGAAAAATAGGAAGAGGAGGAGGGGGACGAGGGTCAGACGGACAGGCAGTGACAGGGGGAAAGGAGGCCCGGAAGAGGGAACGTGGTGAGGAGGACAATGACGAGAATGAGGACGATGACAGGATTGGCTGAACACAACTAACTGCTCAACCGTAGTCGCGGCACAGCTCTCCGACACGGCACACGGACGCCGAAACCATAATTGCACAGAAGGGGAGCACCCCAGTTGTCTGCGGCTTACTGCGGCAGCTCTGGTGGCCGTAGCGTGTGCGCACGTTTCCACACGGACCCACGGGCTATCGCTTGTCTGGCAGCCGCCCTTCTGTTGGCAACAGCCAGCCGTCCAGGGAGTCCGGGGACAGAGCCCTGATTCAAGCTATGCCCTGGACTCACCACCCACCAAACCACCCCAACCCAACCCGAAGCCCTCAGCTTGCCTTCTCCACTTCCAGTGGGGGGGGGGTCGGGGAGCGCTGAAACAGCACATGGGATCCGTATCCCCCCCAACCCGAAATTCGGGTCAGATTCGGGTCTTCGGGTTGGGTCGGGGTGGTCTGGTGGGTACAGTCGGTGCCCTGAAGCAGGAACCCTTTTCGTTGGGGAGGGGCTCCGTGTTCCCTTGACTGTTTCGCGGCTTGCCTCAGGTTTTCCTTAGGCTTTCGATACGAAATCGAAGTTCAGCTTATGGAGAAAAGGGGCCTCGCTCCTCATTTAGGGTCCCTCAGGTCAACGCCCCGACTGTACTATGTCCACTCCTCCTCCGCAACGATAGTGTCAGGCACACTGCACGGTGCTCGAGGGCACCCAAATGGTTGCTCAAACCGTGGTCAGCGCTACGTCGCAACGGCGGCAGCAGACAGGCACGGCGGGCGGTCCTGGCTCTGCCAAAGAACGGCGCCTCGTCGCGCAGAGAGGGGCGAAAAAGTGGGCACGACGATGGCACTCATCACGACCCTCGATCCTCCTTCCTTAGGTCAACGCCCCGACGGTAGTCGTGCACCCACGCTCGTGGGCGCTGAGGGGGCGGGTCGGCGCGCGCGGCCGCGCGGAGAGCGCTCGGGCTCTCCACGCCTGGGCGCGCGCCTCGTGCGCGGAGCCTGCGCTCGTCGCCTGCGGACCACGAGCCCCCCGCCCCCCAAAAAAGACAGATTTGTTTTTGCTCCTGCTCCTGCTCTTCCTCCTCCTCCTCCTGACCACAAGCCCCCCCCAAAAAAACAAAAAGACAGATGTTTTAGAATGTTTGTTTTACTGATGTTTTTTTTTTGTTCATTGTTTTTTGTTTTAAAAAAGAGGGGTACACTATATGTACGTTCGGGTTGGACGCGCGCCTCCGAGGAGGACATAGAACTAGTATGTCTCTGTGCGTCCCAGGAGAAAAAACAAAGATTTTTAAAAGATCTGGCAGCAGTCGGCTTCCGCAGCGCAGCCTGGGGTCCGCCAACTGGGTTTGCCGCGCCGGGTGCCGCCGACGCAGTCTGAGCAGACACAGGCGGTTCCCACGGCTCGGGCAGCGATGACGGGATGCCTGCAGACAGCAGGTGCGCTGGCAACGCCTGCGCCATGTGGCAGATGTCTGTCAGGAGCTGCCTCGCCAACGGGCGGTCAGGATAGCGGCCGACGAATTCTCGAGCACTGGATACCCAGCACAGATCCGCGATGGGAGCGAGGCCATACGCCTAGATTGGACCAGCCGCGGCAGAGCTGGGGCGTCAGGATCTACTCGTGTTTATTTGTTCTGCGGTTGAATCCGTGCCTTCCTACCGCATCTCGCCAGCGAGTATGTTGGCGGAATGATTGAAGGTATTCCGCAGGTTCCGACTCCGATGGGCCCGATTTGCTGCGACGTGAGAGCCGGACATCCACGACCTCCGGCAAGCAGTCCGCAGACACGGGGGTCAGAGGAAGAGGTGGGAAGACGATACCTCACAAATTCTGACAGCAAACATGTTTCTCCAACCTGGAAGCGAACGATGATTTGCATTAGCACAGGACAGCACTCAATGGAGCAATTTGGAACAAGCGTTCCTACGCCACACAGCACTGACCACAAGTTCCACATCTACAACTGAGGGCCCCGGCCCGCCCGCGCCGGCCTTCCAGGCCCCGCCCCCCCGGCGGATTCAGGCGCGCCTTGCCTTGCCTTGCCATCGGAAGCCACAGGAGCCACCAGGAAACCACTTTATCACATCAGGATATGTTGGAATCCATAAGGTTCAAGGCAATTCATAGTGTTGATTGTTCCTCATTTTGAAATAAGGTGTGTGGGAGGGTCTGATTTGTGGGGGGTCTCACTTGGGTTGTTTTGGAGGCAAGGGTCGGGTTTGATTTGGATCCTTCCTGCAGATGCCCGTGGCTTAGAGCGGTGCCGACGCTTCGCCCAATGGGGGGGTTCGCTTGCAGTTGTCGGCGGCCTTCGGGGGGGTCTTGATCTCAACTGGTTTGGCAGCTGCGCCCCGCGAGGGGGGGGGTCTGCCCAAACCCGCCCCCTGCTCCTGCGGGGCCAGCTGAACGGCGACGGTCTGCAGCTTTGGACGCGGCCGTCTGGCTTCGGTGGAAGGTATGGGGGGGGGGGGGTCTGCCGTGTCGATCTCTCCGAGATTCGCAGGGCGTTCTCTCCGACCTCGTCCGGGCACGGCGGCCGGGGGTTCCTGTCTTCTCGATGCGGGCGCCACCCGCCGGGGGGGGGGCGGTCTGAAACAGCCCGCCTGGGGGGGGGTCAGATCCCCTTTCGTATGGAATCGAGGGTAACCCATAAGAGTTCATAGGAATCCAAGTGCCTCCACAGGGATGTGCTGGAATCCAAAAGGACACAAAGGAACATATGGCTTATAGACCATCCAGACGAGCCCAGTCCAGTCAGTCCAGCTGATACCAATTCCGTTTTAGTCCAGTCCTGTCCCGTCCAGACAAGCCAAGTCCAGTGTGCCCAGCCCAGGTCAGTCCAAGCCAGTCCAGCCCAGTTCAGCCCAGCCAAGTCCAGCCAAGCCCAGTCCCAGCCTAGTCTCAGCCTAGACCCGTCCAGTCTGTTCCAGTGTAGTGCAGTTCAGGCCTGCACCATTCAGTCCAGTCTAGCTATGTACAGCCCAGCCCTTGCTCCCCAGTACAGTCGAGTCCAGCTCAGCCCAGCCCGTCCAGTCCAGTCCAGTCCAAACAAGTCAAGTCTATTCTATTGTATCCCAGTCCAGCCAAGTCTGGGTCAGATTGCTACAGTCCAGACCTGCCCAGTCCTGTCCACTGCAGTGCAGTCCAGTCAGAACAGGCCAGTACTGGCCCGACCAGTCTGTCCAATGTAGTGAGCCCAGCGATCGTAGCTCAGTCCAGTCGACTCCCAGTCCAGCCCAGTCCAGCCCAGTGATGCCAGTCGAGACCCATCTAGTCCAGTCCAGTTGGCCCAATGATGCCAGGCCAAGTTAGTTAATTCCAGTCGCAAGCAGCCAGCCTAGTCAGTCCAGCCCTGTCCAATCCAAACCAGCCCAGCCCATTTGGGTCCTGCCCAGCAGGTTTGTCTCTCATATTTTATCCTTGCCATACATATTTGGAGTCGTTGCTGGAAGATACTCTTCATTTTCGTCGTCGTGATCGGTTGCCTTTGTGGACTTTGCAAACGAGGTCATCTAACACTCCGCCTCTGCCTCTGTAGCCAGTTCGTCGCAATTTTCTGCCCGGGCTTGGACCCGTGCATTCTAAGTCGAGCCCGGAGCGCTCGCACCTCACGGCATCTTGCGGGAGCGGCAGAACCGCTCGGGATACTATCGGCAGGGGATGGCGACGCGCGACCGAAGCAGAAGCCCGATGACGAGGCAGAAGTCCGCCAGCGACGACCTCGTCATCACGCAGGCGGCGGATATGGTGAGCGTCGCCCAGTTCCCCACCCTGCAGAGGTACATCATGGCCCGCACGGGGGACCACGAGATGTCCCTCCTCCTGATGGCGATGACCCTCGCCTGCAAGGCCACGTCGCGTGCTTGCGCCAAGGCTGGCATCGCCAACCTCTTCGGCCTCGCGGGCGAGGTGAACGGTGGAGAGCTCAATCCCGGAATCGGCCCCAAACCCGACATCCGTTCGGTCGAAACCCGGAATCGGCCTCAACCGCGGACCCCCGAATTCGTTTCGAAACCCCGAATTCGCATCGGAACCCGGAATTCCGCAGACACGCGAAATCCAGAATTCCTATTTGTCATATCGGGAGCTCTTGTTCTTTTATTTTCTCTACTTTTTCCGCTCGCCCCTCTGTATTTCCTCTGCGGCCCCTCTCTACGGGGCCAGATCTCCGACGTCGTGAAGAGATTACGACCAGAGTTTGTTTTTGTGCTTGCGTTTTCGCTATCCGGGGGTCTTCGACGGGCCTGGCTCATCAGAAAACGATCCAGGACGAACAGTTGGCTCTAGTGAAAGGGTCGGGATTTCTGGAGATCCCGTTGGCACGTGCCGAGTAGAGTGTAGAGTTGTCGTTTCGTTTCGCTCCCCGCGCGTTGCTGCGTGACGCGTCGAACGGATCAGTTCCTTTTCGCGCCGTGGAGTTGCCGCTCCACGCGCCCATCGGCCCGCGCAGGCCTGCCCTAGAATTTAGAACTCTGAGTGTGTCAGTTTGGTCGATTCGCGCGGAAGATTTCAAAATCAGGGCATCGAGTGGAGCATTTTGTCGCCCAGCTCCCGAGGCGTTGCCGCGCGGCGAGTCGAGTGGAAATGGTTGATTTTAGATCTGTAAGCACAGGAGGGTCTGGCCGCAAGGGTGCCGCATGTGAGAATTCACAGTCCCGTGTGCTATCCGTGGCACGCGGCTCAAGCTCTTGAGGGGGTGGTCGGTCCCAGAGCCCCGCGCGCGCATGCAGGCGCTGGCCGAGGCCTTGACGGCTGAGGTAGCGCGGGCGGCGCAGACTGCTGCTGTGGTCTGGGGGCTGTCGCGGCCGCCGCCGCCCTGCCCCGACTGCTACTGCTCGCCCCAGTTGGTGTGCGGGCCAGGGGAGGCTGCGAAGGAGCTGGTGCCCGTGGAGTGCAGCTGCCCGTTCCCATGGGTGTGGTTCGTGCTCGGCCTGGGCCTCGTGGGCACGGCCGGCTTCGCGGCTGGGCGCCGCTGCGACCAGAAGGCCAGCGGTGGCGACGCGCCCAAGATAGGCATCCCCCCTCGATCGAGGACATCGCCCGTGAGCAAGCCGCTCGATTTCGTAGCCGCAGTCAGGCAGCGCACCGTGTGAGCTGATGGCGAATCCCTTGGCCCAGTTGGGCCTACAGGAGGGCGACGTGATCGCCGTACGTTACGGAGTGGCTGGGCCTCGGATTTGGCATGAAAGGATCATCCTCGTGATTCCTCCTGGGGTCCAGCCAATCATCAGCATTTTGACCCCGGACAGTGATCAATATGAAGAGGATCTGTCAGCAGGAGGCGACATCCAGGAGTTCGCGATCTTGGAGGGTGGGGCGCTTGGCCGAGATGCTGCACCCATCGGAGCTGATCACGTGCACAGGTTTCGGAATGTGCCGCTGCCTGCGGCGATGCAGGGACTTCGTGATGCTGCTGCAGTTTGCCTTGGCTTGCCGTTGCGCCCAGGCTTCGCGGTGAACTCAGTCGGCCGTGCAGGTTTCGCTGGAATGCCGATGCCCGCTGCAGGAGCTGTCGGGGCCGTCGGAGGCGGTGCTGCCGGAGGAGTGGCTGGCCTGGCGGCGGCCCTGGCCGTACCCGCGCCCGCAACGCCTGGAGGTGCGCTTGCGGCAGGCGGTGGAGCAGGTGGCGCGGTCGACGGCCTAGCACCGGGTGGAGGGCTCGCCCCCGTGGCCGCGCTGGCCGCTGGGGGAGCCGCCGTTGTAGGGCCGGGGGGGGGCCCGTTGCCTCCTGCCATGGCGCCACCTGCACCAGCAGCAGCCGTGGCACCAGGCCTGGCCCCCGCGGGCGCCGCGGGCCCTGTGGCTCTCGCGGGCGCCCCCGCGATGGCGGCTCCAGCTCTGGCCCTGGCGCCAGCTGCCGCCGCCGCGGCCCCGCTCCCCGGTGCTGCACCTGCTCCCGCGGCGCCTCAGGGTATCAGCGATGTGCGCGTGCAGCCCGTGTCCCTCGACGCGCAGGGCAACCGCCACCGTTCCTTCCGGGGCGCCATCTTGATGATGCGGGAGGACGCGTGGCCCGACTGGCCAATTCGAGGCCCACGTACCGTCTTATGGGTGCTGAAGTTCATGGAACAGAATGGAGGAAGCCCCATGGGCCGTCATATGCGATTTCGGACCGAGGCCAAGTTGTCGTCATCCGACGTGGGGGTCGACGAACACGAGCAAGCTTGTCGGATGTTGGAGCAGATGATATTCTACGATCAGCTCATGGTCACCACCCTGGCTAGTGCCGAATCGCTGTGCCGTGTCATTCAGGTGCAAGAAGAACGATACCGTGATAGGCTGGCTGGGGGGTCGGACAGCGTGGCCGACAACCATCTGTGCACGGGGACGGACATGATCCGAGGATGCGCGCGCGCGAGCCCCCAGCTGGCCGATTTTGTGAAGGAGTACCAATCGCCAAGGAGCGCCGCAAGGCGCGAGAGGAGCGGGCCCTGGCCAAGAAAGGCGCCAAGAAAGGCGGCAAGGATGGCTCAGGGCCCGGCGATGGGACGTGATTTACCCCCGGGCCCAGGAGTTGGGGACCCGGGCTCGAGCGACTTTTTGAATCCCCGTTCTGCCGGCGACTATCGGCAGAGAGATGTCTTCCCGCTTCCTCTCCTCGGCCCCCGCTCCGATGCTCCAGCGAGTGTCTGCAGGACCGTGCGCCGTCGCCGCCTTCGCCTCCAGCATTCAGTCAGTTGGGCTAACGATGCTGTGAAGGCCCTCAACCAGATGTCAGGATATAAGGAGGTTGCGCCAGCCCCCGCGTCCCTTGCTCAGAAAAGAGTGCTCGATCGCTTCAGTGATTGTTACTGTCGTCTGGGCCCCCCTCCCAGCGAGGCGGGATTTGCTCGGGGAGCCCTCAGCGAGCTGCTGAGCAACTATTCTTTGTATGGGGATGCGGGCCCCACCCGTCCTTATTCGCTCGACCTCGTTGCGTGGCCTGATGAGGGTACGGTCCCCGTTGACCTTCATCGCTTGCTCTCTCAGGCCGACTCTTCTTGGCTTAAGGATTGGAGATCGCGCATGCTGAGGCCAGCATCTGAGGCCCAGGTTCCGGTGCAGGAGGCCTGTCCCAAAGGAGCCTATATCGACCCTGTTCTCGTTCATTCCCCCTCTACTTACGCTGACTTTCTGGCCTGTCTGGCCCGGCGTGGGACGTTAAGCTTTCAACCTGCGCTGGGTAGGAGGGGCCTTCTTGGAGTGTTCTGCGCTGCCAAGAAGTCCGATCAACTACGTCTCATTTTCGACACTAGAGTTGCCAATTGTTATTTCAACGCCCCCCCCTCTACTCGACTCCCCTCGGCATCCGCCTTCTCCGCCATCGAATCGAGGTGCGGCCCTTGTCTTGCCGCCTAAGGTGATGTTCAGTGTGCCTTTTATCACATGCGTGTTCCAGCCGACATGATAGAATGGTTCTCTTTGCCACCCATCGATTCGGGTTTACTCATGTCCTTTGGTTCGGAGGGTGTTCCTCAGATGGCGGGACAGGCCCTCCTTCCGTGCATAACTGCGATGCCTATGGGCTTTTCTTGGGCCCTTCACTTTTGTCAGGCTGCGATGCGAAGCGCCATCCAAGAGGCGGGCTTCAGCCCGAGTCGCGTCATATCTGACGGTGAGCCCGGCGTCGTGTTTAGGGCAGCCGATGACACGGCTGCTGCGGGCGATGTTGATAATTTTCTCGTGCTAGGCCAGTCTGAGAAAAATGTGAAGGCTGCTTTTGACCAGATTAGCGTCAGGCTCAGATCTGTTGGTCTCCTCGTTCATGAAGTTTGTGAGCCGTCTAGGGAGTCGACCTTTCTCGGACTCTCCCTCGTCGCCGGCCGCTGGTTGTCTGTAAAGCCTCGGAATCTCTGGCGCCTGCGCTTCGCTATTGGGCGCCTTTTGGCCAGGGGCTCTGCCAGCGGTGTTTTGCACAGAGTGATTGTTGGCCACATCACGTGGTCGGCTATGGTCCGTCGTCAAGCCTTGGCCATCCTGAATGCGCGTTACGCGTTCATTGAGGCGGCAAAGGATGTGGTGACCCCCCTCTGGCCTCAGGTGGCGTTAGAGCTTCGTAGGATTGTTGCTATTCTCCCTCTCCTCACGACGGATGTGCGTGCTCGGTGGCATCCTCAGATCTGTGCCTCGGACGCTTCGGAGTTCGGTCTTGGAGTTTGCCGTCGTTCACTTTCTGAAGACCAGGTTGCAGAGATTGGCCGAGTAAGCGAGAGAGTGAGATACCGTGTGGAGGGCGCGGAGAAGGCTCGCCTCAATGCACTTCGGGAGTCTGGGGACATCGAGGACTCTCGGGACGTCGTCGACGCGGAGGCTGCCGCCCGCCCGCCGGACTACCTGCCCCTTGGGTTCATGGACGTGGACCCCCTGCTCTTAGAGGAGATCCCCGCGGACCTCATGAGGCCCCAGGATTGGAAGGATGTCTTGGCCGTTCGGGTGGGCTACGACGCCGATATCATGCAGTTGGAGGGTGAGGCCCTCGTGTTGGCCTACAAGCACATCCTGCGCGCTGGTGCTGCCGTGGGGCGGCGAGCGGTTGCCCTCGTCGATGACATGTGTCTGGCGTCGGCTTGCTGCAAGGGCCGTGCGAAATCCGTTCACCTTCAGTCTGTCATGTTGAAGCTGGCCTCGTTACGCTTCAGGATGCCGCCTGCACGTTCGCTGGATCCCCAGTGAGAGGAACCCGGCAGATCGCCTTTTCCCGCTGCCATCTTGGATGGTTCTCAGGCTTCCGCGCGGCGCGCCGCCTGCCGCCCGAGGGCGACGCCGCGGGCCGCGCCTGGGAGGGCAAAGGAGCGGGCCAGGGCACAGCGCGAGACGCGCGTTGCCGCCGCCCAGCGCCTGACCGCGGAGCGGGAGCCCTTGGGATCCCTAACGGTTCTCGCGCAGATTGCGATCCGCCCAGTGACGGAGGCCCTCTACAAGAAAACTGC